CACAGAGTCACCCTACCAAAAAGAATTGGTTGACGTTCAGCCATTTTAGGAGGTGGCATGTGATCAAGAACCAGTGGTACTGACGGAAGAACCAGTGGCATTGAAGGAAGAAGTCGAAGCTGCACTGAAAGAGTTGGTGAGAAACAAGGCTCCAGGAATTGATGGAATACCCATTGAGATGTTTCAACAAACAGATGGCACCCTGGAGGCATTCATTCAGCTATGCCAAGAGATTTGGAAGACAGCTTTCTGGCCAACTGACTGGAAGAGATCCATATTTGTACCCATTCCAAAGAAAGGTGATCCCACAGAATGTGTATATTATTGAACAACATCACTGATGTCACACACAAGTAAAATCTTACTGAAGGTAACTCAAAAACAGTTGCAGCAGTATATTGACAGAGAACTTCCAGAAATGCAAGCTGGATTCAGAAGAGGTCATGGAATAAGGGATATCATAGCTGACATTAAATGGATGTTGGCGCAAAGCAAGATCAATTGTGTGGATCATTCAAATGTGTGGATCATAACAAATTATGGATAACATTGAGAATAGGAATTCCAGACCACTTAAATGTGCTCATGATAACATTGAGAAGAATGGGAATTCCAGAACTCTCAATTGTGCTCATGAAGAACCTGTCCATAGACCGGCAGGCTGTCATTTGAACAGACCAAGGGGACACTGCATGATTTAAAATCAAGAAAGGAGTGTGTCAGGGTTGTATCTCTTAACCATACTTATTCAATCTGTACACTGAGCAAATAATCCAAGAAGCTGGACTATGTGAAGAAGAATGTGGCATCAGGTTTGGAGGAAGACTAATTAGCAACCTGCGATATACTGATGACAGAATTTTGCTTGCTGAAAGTGAGGGTGACTTGAAGCACTTACTGATGAAGACTGAAAACTACATCTCAATATAAAGAAAATGAAAAATCCTCACAAGTGGACCTATAAGCAGCATCACAATAAATGGAGAAAAGATTGAAGTTGTCAATGACTTCATATAACTTGGTTCTACAATCAACACCAATGGCAGCAGCAGTGAAGACATCAGATGACTTACAGCACTGGGCAGATCTGCTGCAAAAGACCTCTTTCAAGTGCTGAAGAGCAAAGATATCTCCTTGAAGACTAAGGTGCACCTGACATAACCCATGGTGTCTTCAGTCACCTCATATGCATGTGAGAGCTGAACAATGAATAAGGAAGACCAAAGAAGAGTGGATGCTTTTGGGTTGTGGTGATGGCGAAGAATGTTGAAAGTACGGATTGCTAAAAGAACTAATAAATCTGTTCTGACCAAAGTGCAGCTGGAATGCTCCTTGAAGCAATGGCCAGGCTTCATCTCACCTACTTTGGTCATGTTGTCAGAATGGATCATTCCCTGGAAAAGGATATCATGCTTGTTAAAATGGAGGGTCAACAATAAAGGAGAAGGCCCTCAACGAAATGAATTGACACAGTGGCTGCAATGATAACGAGGTATAGCAAGGATCATGGGGCTGGCACAGGACTGGACAGTGTTTAGTTCTGCTGTGCATAGGGTCACTATGAGTCGGAGATGACTCGACAACACCTAACAACAACAACAACAAAGTCTCAAGATGTGCTTTGGCTTTTAGCTATAGCTGCTAGTTTACAACTTGTATTTTTAATTAACTCTTTAAGTCCTGCCACCTTCTGCCTGTCTCACCAGTAGTTTTTTTGGTGGTCAATTATTTAGTTTCCATGTATTATTTCCCTTATTGTTTCTGTTGTTGATTTCCAACTTGACAAAGTTATGGTCAGACAAGAGGCTTCGTATGATTTCAGTCTTTTCAAATTTGTTGAGACTTGTTTTGTGGCTTACCATATAATCTATTCTGGAAAATGATCCTTGAGTGCTGGAGAAAAATGTGTATTGTTATGGTAACAGATAAAAACCAAAAACCAAACTCACTGCCATCAAGTCGGATCTGACTCATAGCGACCCCTCCTTGGGTTTCCGATGCAGTATCACTACAGTAGATTGCCCAGCCTTCCTTCCGAGGAGTGGCTAGTGAGTTTGAACCGCCAGCCTTCTCTTCTGGTTAGCAGTCAAATGCCTTAGGCACTATGGTACCAGAGCTCAGATGAAGTGTTCTATATGTGTGCATTAGGTCAAATTGGCTTATTATTTTATTAAAGTCCTCAATGTTCTTACTGATTTTCGTTTTAGACATTCTGTCTAGAATTGAAAGTAGTGTGTTGAAGTCCCCAACTATTACTGTAGTTATCTATTTCTCCTTTCATATTAGTATTAGTTTCATGTATTTTGGAGCACTGATGTTAGGTGCATATATATTTATAATTGTTATGTCTTCTTAATGGATTGACCCTTTAATTATTATGTGGTGTTCTTCTTTATCTCTTAAAATAGATTTTGATTTAAAGTCCATTTTATCTGATATCATTATGGCTACCCCTGCTCTTTTTGTTTACTGATTGCATAGAATATTTTTTCTTCCCTTTGTCTTCACTTTGTTTATGTCCTTATATCTGAGGTGTGTTTCTTCTAGGTAACAAAAGGGTGAATCTTTTATTTATTTATTTATTTATTTATTTAATCCATTCTGGAGCTCTGATGGTGCAATGCCTAAGGTATTTGACTACTAACCAGAAGGTTGGCAGTTCAAATCCATCAGCCACTCCGCAGAAGGAAGACTGGCCAATCTACTTCTGTAAAGGTTCACCATTCAGAAATCCAATGGAGGTCGCTATGAGTAGGAAACAACTCAATAGCAGTGGGTTTGTTTTTTTTATTCTGTTACTTTCTGCCTTTTGCACAGGTAATTTAAATCATTTACATTTAAGGTTATTACTGAAAACAAAATACCTGCTTCATTAATTTTGTTTTTTTATATACTGTCTTTGATTTTTTATTCTTTTTTTCTGTTATATTTTGTGTTTAGCTTTCTTTGTAATGAAGCTTTTTGGTTTCTTCCTTTTTGTTGTTGTTTTTGTTGTTCTGTGTATTTTTTCTAGATGATTACTTAATAATTACCACAAATATTACTTTACACAGCTTGCTGTTGGAACAACATTTAACAGATAAACAGCTAACACAACAACATTAAACTACTACAAGTATTCCTGATTTGCTCCTCCCTCTTCTTTTCTATTGGCAAATCTCCATTGATATCATGATATTGCATATATCCAATAGATTTAATTTGTACTTATTTATTATGCACTTGATGTTATATTGCTTGTGGAACTTAAGTATTGAGTTTATTCCCTGAAAAATGTTTTATACCTGGTCTTTAATTTTCTTTTTAGTGGTGTCTGCCTGGCTTCAGTATCAGGGTTATGCTTGCATCATAAATGAATTTGAAAGGATTCCATCCTTTTCTATGTCCTGGAATAGTTTGAGTAGAATTGGTGTCAGCTCTTCTCTGAATGTTTGATAGAATTCTCCAGTGAAAACAGCTGGGCTAGGACTTACTTTGTTGGGAATTTTTTGATAACTTGTCAGTTTCTTTTTTTATTATGGTCCTGTTCATGTTTTCTATCTCAAACTGTGTTATTTTAGGTATGTTGTGTGTTTCCAGAAATTTGTCCATTTCTTCTAGGTTTTCAAATTTGTTGGAGTACAAACGTACACTTATTCATAGTATTCTGTTATTGTCCTTTTTATTTTGATTGATTCTGTGTAACATCACCCACTTCACTTCTTATTTGGTTATTTGCATGTTCTCTTAGTTTTCCTTACTCAAATTTTACAGTGGCTCTTAAATTCTGTTAATCCCTTCAAAGAACCAACTTCTAGTCTTGTTGATTCTTTTTATTGATTTTCTGTTTTTTGTTTCATTTATTTCTGTTCTAACATTTATTATTTCCTTTCTTCTGGAGACTGTGGGCTTTATGTTGATCTTTTTCTAATTGTTGGTGTTGTTGGGTTAAGATACTGATTTTCGTTCATTGTTAGTTTTTGATGTGTGTATTTATTGTGATAAATTGACCCCTGAGCACTACTTTTGCTGTATCCCAAAGATTTTGGTATATTATGTTTTCATTTTTGGAATTTTCTTATTTCACATTTCTTCTTTCCTCTCCAATCTGCTGTTATGTCTATCCAGTGAATTTCTTATTTTGTACATTATAATTTTTAGTTCTAGAATTTATGTTTGGTCCTTTTTTTATATCTCTGCTGAGATTTCTTATCCTTATTTATTGCAGAAATAGTTCTGTTACTTCCTTGATCTGGTTAAATATGAAATAATAGTTATGTTTTTAAAAATTATTTTCTGTTCATTCCAATAGTGTGGGCTTTTTGGGATCAGTTTTCATTCATTGTCTTTTTTGTGTAACATGTATAATATGTCCATAATTCTTCAGTTGTCAATTAATTTTATATTGTATCTTAGATGTTATGAATAATACATTATAGAGTGTTTGGACTCCCTTACAAAGATTTAAAATGCCTTTAACATGTAAGACAACTAGATTCATAATGTAAACTCTGTCTGCTCTATGAAATATCAGTTCAGCTCTTTTAACCTTAAATAATTAAAATTTATACATACACACAGAGAGAAAAGGGGGGATTATAATTGTTATTCATGGGAGCGTTAATGGTCCAATAGAAGGTACTTAGCTATTACTGAAAGTAGAATAGACTCACATCTGTTGTTTTAATTTATTCTGTAGATTTGCCCTATCCTAATGATTCTTGGATAAGCCATTTCACCTAACAACAATAACAAAAAAAGAAAGAAAAAAAAACTTTCTCAGGTACATAGTAGTACACAATGAATGTGTTGTAAAGTCCAGTTAGGATATTATTATTCCATTTTCCTACAATGGGCTCCAGCTGAAAAGATTTTGTAGACAAGAAGAGAGTCTTGTTGGAAGCTTTATGGGTATCAAACCTTAGCAACATGGGTTGAAGTACTTTTTATCCATGTGGACCATATGCTCAGTGAAATAGTTGATTTGGATATATTGCTTATGATTCCCCCTTTTAATTCAGACTAGGTCAAGAATTGGCTATTGTCCTCAGTCTGATGCCATGCTGAACTACATGACAGGTCGGGAATTGCTAATCATGTATGCCAGGATACGGGGGGTCCCTGAGCCAGATATGTCTGGGTATGTGGAAGCCTTTTTGCAGTTGATGCACCTGGAAACCCATGCTGACAAATCTGTCTACACATACAGGTGAGGTATTATCCTGCTGCAATCATTAAATTACCTACTGTATTTCTGCTTTTTGGAACAAATGCCTGCAAATTCAACCTGAGCCTCTCTGTTACACAGAAGCAATGACTATGAAATAACATAATGTCCTGCCAGAGTTTATATTTCAGGAATAAGTTAGATCCAAATGGTGTGAGGTAAACCTTTTGTAGATGTGAGCTATATATTGCATTTGCATTTCAAAAAAGAACACTTCCATTTTTGTCTCTGAAGAACAAAAAATGTCCCAAATAATAATGCTGAAATAAATTTCAAAAAAAGTCATTTAATTGAAAATGAGTTGAGGTAAACACACACACCCCAGGATACATTACACCAGGACTGGGACTGGTGCTTTATTAATCATACCAAATCAACGTAATTGTTTGTTTGAGCTAATTCTTTCCTGTTAATTAATGGCATGACCCTTATCTTCTTCTCCTACTTTCTTTCTTTGGCCGTAAAGTGGAAGAAACAAACGTAGATTGAGTACTGCTATTGCCCTAATGGGAAACCCTTCAGTAATCTTCCTGGATGAGCCTTCTACTGGCATGGACCCAACAGCCAAGCACCTGGTCAGGGACACAATTACACGGATCTGTAAAACTGGCAAATCTATCATAATAACTTCCCACAGGTATGGCCCTTTGAGAGGCTTGGTTGGGAGTTATAAGGCATTGAAATGGGTGTAAGAGGGAATTGATAGAGCTAGGACTATGAGTTTGCCTAAGTTTATGAGCTACTTAGGAGATACTGTGGGTAGATTCTGCTAAAGGGATCTCTTGATTGTGCCAAGGAGTTCTAAGAGAAGATAGGAAATCAGGAAGCTGTTTCTATTTTGGATTTAAGAATCATCTGCTTTAAATTTTAATATCCCCTCTTTCTAATATGACCTTAATGTCTATCATAAACTCCAAGCCTTTCCATTGCAAAAGTTACCTTGTAATATTTGCTCTGCTTGAACTACAGAATTTTTCCTCTAAAAGAATGTTTCTCCAGCCATAACTCCTTTATTCTCCCTAGCATGGAGGAATGTGAAGCCCTTTGTACCAGGCTGGCCATCATGGTAAAAGGGAGGTTCACATGCCTAGGAAGTCCTCAGTACCTCAAGAACAAGTTTGGTAATGTATACACTCTGAAAGCCAAAGTTAATATGGACAAGGATGGAAATAAACTAAAGGAGTTCAAAGAATTTATTGCAACAACTTTCCCAGGTAATATAGGTAGGGCTGATGTGTGAAAATTGTGTTAAATCATACTTGTTTTTTTGCTCCATATTCTTAATAATTAACGTTGTCCTGTGAATTTTTGTTGCTCTTTAAGCTTTTGTATTGAGTTTTCTTTTCGATAATTGTTTCTATGAACATCTTATCCCCGTCTATGCTAAGAAGCTTTCGTGAAATAGCAGACACTCTGCCAATCTCTTGTAGTAATCAACCAAGATGAAACTGTTTATATGTATTCATCTAGAGTTAAATTATTGAGTGTAAATTTCTATTGTTTACCCTTGCAATTTTTTTAAGGTTTCTCCTCTTTTTAAGCATGCATCCTCTGCCTTTTGATGATACTTCATCAAGGCAATGTTTATGGAATGCAAATAAGAACAGTAAGTTATCTGTTCTCCTATCAAGGGAATAGTCTGGATGTGTAAGACACAACAATCAATCATTCTGCCTCTGCATCCTAACTTCAGTGAACTATTTTCTGTGCACATGGCCCAATACCACAGCCATTTACAGCCAACTTCCATTTCTCTCTGTACCTCCTACTTTATTTTAATCATTAAACAGAGACACAGCAACTCTTTTAATAATTTTGCTTGCTTAGTCTCCATTTGGAACTCCATCAACTATGTAGAGGCTAGATTGTCAGGTTGAAAAAATTGAAATCATGGAGGCTATGGCACTGAAGCACTAAATGGTGTTGACCTATACTCAAGAAGTGACTGTGGGAATGGAGAGGAGGAAATGATAGCAAATGGATATTTATCAGGATTGGAAATTCAAAAGGAGGAACCATTACATGGGAAAGATAATTAATTCATTATTAATCATATTAATTTTGAAGTACTTATGAGATATGCAGATGGATATGTCCATAAGCAGTTGAATAATTATTTAGTCATACAATTGTTTAGTAATATTTATGGAGTATTTATTATATGCATTGTTGAAGATCTTGAATTAACTATACTGAAAACTATAAATACTGTGAGCCAATCCAACATTCTGCTTAACCTGAAGGGAAGCATGCAAAACACTGAGAACAGACTTTGCCTGATGGAGGTGAAAACAGACCTTGCTTGTGAACTGTGGTGTGATGCAATATATCTAAATGTAGGATTGACCATATACCAATCTTTCCCCCACAGTATTCTTACCCATTTAACTTACCCATTTGACAGTTACAGAATAAAAATAAAACATCCATTTAACAATTGCAGAATAAAAAGAAACTGGCATTGAACCTATACATAAATGTTATTTAAAAATAAAGAAGAAAAGCAGGAAAAAGAAATATGGAAAGTAAAAGGCAGCTTAAGTATACGTTTCAGTTGAAAATTAACTCTATGAATCAGAAAATAATTTTAGGTAAATGCTTTCTGTAATCTCAAATAATTTAGGAGAATGTCTAAAAGGCCACAAAGAAAAGAGCTCCTCCTTCCACAGCATGGCAGATTGTATACCTAGAAGGTCCTGCTGTTAAAACAAAGTATATATTTATTATAATTTATATGCATATCTATACACACACACACACAGGAAAGCTTTAAGCAAAATGACTTTTTAATAACTTTCTTGTACTCAGAAAAAAAAGTGAGATAAAACTCAAAGACTCAAAAGAGAAAAGAAGAAATTATCAATGTAAAGCCTAGTAGTGAGCAACAGTGAAATATAAAAAGCCAGCTTGCCTTGAGGGAAATTCCAATACCAGTAATAAGATGGAAGATGAAACTTTGGACCCATTGCAAGGTAGATAGCTTAACCTGAGATCCCCATATTAATCACTAACCTTCAAAATTGAACAAACATGTTAAATCCAAGATTAGTAGTATCTGTTAACACTGAATTGAAGCAAGGATAAATCCTCTTAGAAGAAAAGCATCTCCAGCTGAGGCCCATAAGATTTCATACCTTGTAAGAACATAATCAGAAGTCAGCAATTGCACAAAAAAGTCACCATGGAGGAGCTTAACCAGAGATACAAACAACAATTTCAAACTCCAAAGACTTCAGGTATTTAAAATAACAATATGGAATATAAAATGACTTTCTGAGTTCTACTTCCGGAACAACAGTAAGAAGAGCTTAGTTAAACTGGTGAAGATTATTGGGAGGGGGAGAGAAACATTTAAAATTTCTGAAAGTGGTCCTAAGAACACAGAGCAAATGAAGAAACATTTATTCAACAAAATGTACTAACACTTGATGAGAACAGTGAGATTCTATGACATATAAACCATGTTCAACTTCCTTTCTCCCTCTCCCAGCCCTGTATAATGAAAAACTCCATTCACATAAAGCCAACAACGCAGGGCTCCCTCTCCCATCAGCTTCCAGGTAAAGGTTATGGGATGTATTTCTCACTGTCAACATTTCTTCTTGCTGTGGAAGCTAAGTTCCCTACAAGTGTAGCCAAGAGGTCAAGGATACCCTTCTTTCACCCAGTCCACACTCTTGAAGCAGAAACTCTATCTTGGGCGTGGTACACTAAGAATAGAGGCCCCAATTGCTCTGGCCCTTACTCATCTGTAGGACAGAGGTTTCTTGCTAGGAGAGACAAGCTAAGAAGATGAGCAATTAGTTGAGGTTAGCAGCTGGCCGTGGGCAGGAAAGCAATAGTCAAAGAGAGCCCTGGTAAAACCACTGTAATCCTACAGTGACTGTATGCATATACCCAACACTGTGTGCAATGAGAAGAAACACCAGAAGATTCACACTGCATGGGAAAAAGGAAAGTAGACTTCACTAAAATAATCCAGCCAGTCACTAAAAAAAAAAGAAAGAAAGAAAAAGAAAAAATGCAAGACATAATAAGTGAAAACCAGGACCCAGAGATTTTCAACAAAAGAATTATGAAATGTAGTTTTAAAGAAATAGGAAAATATGGCCTGTACACTGAAGAAAAGGCAGTGGAAAGTTCCTGTGAGTGTGATCAGATATAAATTTAACAAAAACTTCAAAGTAGGCATTATAAATATGTTCAGCGGACTAAAGTAAACCATGCTTAAAGAACTGAAAGAAGGCATTATGGTAACACCTTTAGAAGAGGAATATCATTAAAGAGTCAGAAATTACTAAATAAATAAATAAAAAGAAGAAGAAGAAAAACTAAATGGAAATTCTGGAATGTAAAAGTACAGTAACCAAAGTTCACAAAAGGGATTCAAGAATAGATGAGACTTGCAGAAAAAATAGTTAGCAAACATGAAGGTAGATTGATAGAGATAATGTGATCCAAGGAACAGAGGCCAAAAATGAAAAATATAAAAAGTGAACAGAGGCCCAGAGAAATGAGGGGAAACATTAAGTGGTATATACATATATAAGAGACAAAGAGAGCCAAAGGGAAAGGAGAGAGAAAGGAGAAAAAATATATATATTTGCAAAACTTCCCAAATCTATGAAAAAAAAATAAATAACCTACACATCTAAGAAGTTCTACAAACTCCAACTAGTATAAATGCAAAGAAATCCACACAAAGATGCATTATAATAAAAAAAAAAAAATACTGAGAGCCAAAGACAAGGAAAAAATCTTGAAAGCAGTAAAGTAACTTTGTATGAAGTAAAAAAGGCATTTGAAAATAGGTAACAAATAAAAGACTAACCATAATGAATTTTCCTAGTTTACTATGAATCTTATGATTAATGGGTATTGGATTTTATCTCATGATTTTTATATATCTGTCTGTGTACTAAGCAAATAATCCATGAAACTGTATTTTTTAAGAACATGATATTAGGATTTTAGAAAGACTCATTAACAACCTGTGAGCCAGAATCCTGTCATCTGACCTGCTGATCTTGGACTTGTCAGCCCCTGCAATATGTGAGTCAGGAGAAGCTTCAGCCTGATGCCTGACTTACTGACTTGGGACTTGCCAGCCTCTGCAACCACATGAGCTATTTCTTAGATAAATCTCTGTATGTGTGTGTCTCTGTCTCT